AACAAGGTCAAACAACGAAAGGAGACTGCGACCACACAAAAGGCCACACCATCTTGGTCTTCATACCTTAGAATAAAGCGTAAGTTATTTAGAAGATAGGAAGACCAAGATGGTGTGGCCTCTGGTATGCTCGCAGTCTCCTTTCGATTTATAGAAGTGGGTTGACCTCGTCGCAACTTGGTCTTGGTGTCAGGGCGACTTAGTAGAACTCACCTAGTCCGAAGTCCTCTGCTATGCTAGCTGTCATGATTCCCTGCATCAGACAGTGGACTTGGTACATTGTCAAACGTTTCGCCGGTATTGTAGTCGACATCATCAGGGAGTTTTGCAATTCTCCGCACCAAGCTACGAACGAGTCTGAGAGAAGTGAAGTCAATCCCTCGACGAACGTTCTGCCGAAAACGGTTACACTATCGCTCGTCTTTCTTTACTGACCCATCTATCTACTCTTTACCCTCTTATCTAACTCCCGCCCTATCACAACTTCTCACTTGTTTACATTCCACTTGTCAAACTGTGTGCCCTTTTGTAGCAAGTGGTCCTCTATGGGACCATGATGGGATCTGGATTAGGGAATAACAGTAGTGATGAGGCCACACTAGATTTGCTACCGAAGGGCACACATTTTGATGAGGGGAATGTAAACAATTGAGAAGTTGTGATAGGGCGGGAGTTGGATGATAGGTTAAAGAGTAGATAGATAGGCCAGGATAGTAAGATAAGTGATAGTGTCATTGTTTTTGGCAGAACTTTGGTGGAAGGATTGACTTCACTTGTCCCTTTGACGAGTTCGTAGCTTGGTGCGGAGAATGGCAACACGCACTGATGATGCTGACTACTGTGCCGGCGAAACGTTTGAGAATGTACCAAGTCCACTGTCCGATGCTGGGACTTATGACAACTACTATGGCAGACCAGTTCGGACTAGGTGCGTTCTACTAAGTCCCCCTGACAACAAGACCAAGTTGCGACAACGAGGTCAACCTACTTATTTGAGTTATTTCACTCGAAATTTCACAAGATACATCTACGCTAATACTTATGAATTTAAAAAAATTTATTTTTAGCTTAGTTGATTACCTATTTCTGGCCTATAATATAAAGGCTTCACAAGTGCATGTGAGATTAATAAAGCCTACGCAGCATTTTACAGGTAGACACGATTAAAAGTGAGGCAGACTTTAGATATGAAATCTAGGTGAAAAATAATGAATTTGCCTTACATAGGAATGGGATAATAGAATCAATTTTAGGGCAAAGTTTCAGATTCCAGATTTGTACATGCATAGATACTTTTTTTACAATATTACTTAGATAGATAAAATTCACGGATAGTTTCGAAAACCTACTTAATATGAATATAACTTAGATATAATCCACGGATTGATATTTTTATCATATCGCTATAATGTTTGCCATGACTTTTATCTTTTAAACAAAATCTATGATATTTTATCTAATGATAATGACAGCAATAATCTATCATCTTTAAATCTATAAGATTATTATTAATTTATAAAAATGTTAAACTGCTAGATGCTGATTCTTACGTTTCTCAATCTTACTTTGCGACAACAATTTATTTTCAGGGCACCTGATACATTATTTAAGCTAAATTTCGAAGTTAAGAAGACGTTTAAAAAAAGGAAAATAAATTAAAGCTGTTCAACTTTCTTATTTTGGCTAAGTTATCTACAAATATAGTGTGCTTGTTGCACACATTGATCTAAGATTTTTCCTTTTTAATCTCCATAGCATATATTTTCGGAAGACACTTTTTGTTTTTAGTTTAACTTTAAACTTGATAAATTGTTTGGTAGTGGATTCTTTTAATAAAGGTTTATTTCTAGTTTTTAAAAACTAAGGCACATGCCATGTATTTCTTTCTCATAACTTGTTTAGCTCTAATTTGGTTACATTCCAATTTATGATATAAAATTGTAAGAGTTATTGGGCCCCTGGGTTATTTGCATATTGTTTTTATTTGGATGGTTGTTAATTTTGTTCACTTCCTACCCGTCGATCTAGAAGCCAAACGCAGAACAATATTTTCTTCAACTATATTCTAAATCAAATATTGGCCGCAACCCTTTATTTGTTAATTCTAGTATTCGATCTTTAGCAAAACCTTTATGATGATGATTTGCTTAAATGATTATTATCCCATTAAATGCGTCCTATACACTATCAGCGTTTTATCAAGTCCTAGTTATTTGGCCATAATGCTTTTTTACATGCAGCTTTGATCAAGCCACCCTCCCAACTAACCTGCAAGACATCCTAAAACGCCATTGCAACTTCTCTCTTATTTGGGGCACGATAGCTACTTTGTTCTTAATATTAGATTGCATGATTGAATTTATTAATAAAATTAGGTTATTACATTTATTGAGAAACAAGAACCATTCATTTTTTCCTGTTTTTTCCCCATTTTTTAGATTTCACATCGCTCCGACAACCTTCCATTTTTATCATTAAGCAGTAAGTTTTCACTGTTTTTCCTAAAATTCGCTAAGCTTTTGGTCCTACCTGTTTTACTTCTCCATATTATACTATGTCCACTCTTATGGTTAATGAAAAACCGTTGAGCCCTTGTTAGGCTGTTTTAAATATGTGCAACTTACCACAAACGAACATCTCATTAAATCTTAAAACTCAGCAATTTTATTAGCAAGTAAGGCATTCTCTTTGGCTCACCTATCCTTCTGAAGCTAGCTATATTGTATGTATTCCAAATATCTCGCCGAATAATTATCTATTTAGGCCAATACTAAACTGAGCATCCAGAAACTTCCTGCTTGCTTTGTCTATGCTGAATTATGCTAACATTTTAGACTCCGGATGTGTCTATTAAATTCAAATTATAATTAGCGCACATATAGTCGGTTCCTTACTGTGCAGGCGCACATACTTATATCTGGTTGTTCTTCTCAGATTGAATATCGCATTCTATATGTATGTGGTCACATTGCATACACATGTCTCTTAATTGACTGACTTAACTGTACT